TTTATTTTTCCCCCCCGACATGTTAATTTTTAGAGTTATTCTTATTTGTAAACTTTATATGCTAATCACAATGAGATTTGAACAAGAGCTGGATGAGACTACTCGAGACCCATAAAGAATTCTTTACCCTTTCACCCCTATGTAACTTTAGTAGACTCTACCATGCATTGATATGGATGAGTTCATTATGGTCTACAGTGGTGAAAGGGTTAAAATATTTTATTTGTGTGTGACAGTTCTACACATTTGTAACACAAACTAGGTTGGTATCTGGTGTAAAGGATAGGTCATCCTCTACCAAAATGTCTATAAATACATACTTGTGTACATTATTTATTCAAACTTTTTGTTTATTAACACACAAAGAGAAAAAGACAACTTTTGACAAATTCTGGAATGTGAGTTCCCTGGAATATGACAATCCACTTAACATTCACATTTAACAAGTCCCAATGTGTTGGGTAGCAGAACATTTCGTTTTTGAAAGACCTACATCATGCTAGGAAACAGTAATCACGCTTGCAGGTAAATTATATACCGGGTAAGCTATCAATTCAACAAAATGTCCGAGCAATCAAAAACAGATAGAGATTTGCCAATGTATTATATAGCCATGAAACAGATACCTGCTACAGAGCAGGTGGTGACAAAGACGGTTCAAAACCAAACTAGTAAATCAACAGTAACACTCGTAAAAACTGTACAAAAACAAACACGTATTGATAGAGAAACCAAAGGTGCGATTCATACCTCAACACTGAAGGTGACTGTTGTAAATGTGATCTGATTACTTACAAGTGATCTAAAACACACAGGCTCAGTATTCAACTCCTCCTTCAAACACAATATCTGTAATTATATGATGAAGACTGTCTATAGTCAAATTGTGAAATTATGCACACTGATGTATGTCTGAGCAAGCCATTTTGAACTCGGTAGCTAATGATTTAAGTCGTAGCTATGTTGTGACCATTGTGTTGGTGTATCTAAATGATGTTTATAGTAAGGACTGGGTTCTCTGGCCTTACACGAGGTCAAAATGGATAAAGTCGACTTATTTAAAACACGAAAATTATCTCCTTCGTGAATAGTACAAACATTTCTGACAATACAATCAATGATTGATAATTGTAAATGAAGGATGGATAACCTGACAACACTGGGATAGGATCTTCTCAGGTGTTCAATGTAATGCTTGTGTAACTTAATCAACAATAGCTAAATATTCGATAGTGATACAGCATTCTTTAAATGTTTGTTATGACAACTGTCAGGGTTATAGGATTATGTTTATATTATGATCACTGTCAGGGATACAGCATTCTGAAAATGTTTGATATGATCACTGTCAGGGATACAGCACTCTATAAAGGTTTGATAGGAATAACTGCCAGGGATACAGCATTTTGTAAAAGTTTATGTTCACTGTCAGGGATACAGCATTATTTAAATGTTTGTTATGATCACTGCCAGGGATACAGCATTCTGATGTTTGTTATGATCAATGTCAGGGATACAGCATTCTATAAATGTTTTTTATAATCACTGTCAGTGATACAGCATTATGTAAATGCTTGTTATTATCACTGTCAGGGATACAGTATTCTGTAAATGTTTGTTATCATCACTGTCAGGGATACAGCATTCTGTAAATGCTTGTTATGATCACTGTCAGGGATACAGTATTCTGTAAATGTTTGTTATAATAACTGTCAGGGATACAGCATTATGTAAATGTTTGATAGGAATTACTGTCAGGGATACAGCATTCTGTAAATGCTTTTTATGATCACTGTCAGGGATACAGCATTCTGTAAATGCTTGTTATGATCACTGTCAGGGATACAGTATTCTGTCAATGTTTGTTATGATCAATGTCAGGAAATAGCATTCTGTAAATGTTTGATATGATCACTGTCAGGGATACAGCACTCTATAAAGGTTTGATAGGAATAACTGCCAGGGATACAGCATTTTGGAAAAGTTTGTTATGTTCACTGTCAGGGATACAGCATTATTTAAATGTTTGTTATGATCACTGCCAGGGATACAGCATTCTGATGTTTGTTATAATCAATGTCAGGGATACAGCATTCTATAAATGTTTGTTATAATCACTGTCAGTGATACAGCATCATGTAAATGCTTGTTATTATCACTGTCAGGGATACAGTATTCTGTAAATGTTTGTTATAATCACTGTCAGGGATACAGCATTCTGTAAATGCTTGTTATGATCATTGTCAGGGATACAGTATTCTGTAAATGTTTGTTATCATCACTGTCAGGGATACAGCATTCTGTAAATGCTTGTAATGATCACTGTCAGGGATACAGCATTCTGTAAATGCTTGTAATGATCACTGTCAGGGATACAGCATTCTGTAAATGCTTGTAATGATCACTGTCAGGGATACAGCATTCTGTAAATGCTTGTTATGATCACTGTCAGGGATAAAGTATTCTGTAAATGTTTGTTATAATAACTGTCAGGGATACAGCATTATGTAAATGTTTGATAGGAATTACTGTCAGGGATACAGCATTCTGTAAATGCTTGTTATGATCACTGTCAGGGATACAGTATTCTGTAAATGTTTGTTATGATCAATGTCAGGAAATAGCATTCTGATAATGTTTGTTATGATCACTGTCAGGGATACAGCATTCTGATATTGTTTGTTACGATCACTGTTAGGTATGGCTGCTTGGTATTTTTCAAGTCTATGCCAATAGATAACTGTGCCTTACAGTCATCAACAAAAAACTTCCACTTAAATCAAAACCAACATTAAATATATGCAATAATGGCAATCAAATTTTCAAACATAAACAAAAACATATAAAATTGAAAACAAAATGTTCCTTTAACATTTTAGATCACTTCTATTTCACATACACAACAACTCGCAACCCGACTTCTCTGTACTTATGTGTGAGGAAAGTTTTCCTGTTTCCCTCTTATTAACTTTCTGACAATTTACCTCTAACCAACATGTGAATATTTGTGCACATATAATACAACCTCATATCAATTTATGCATACGAATATGTGAGTAATAAATATAAAACAGTCGGAAACTTAGAACAAAGTAAGAACAATTGTTTAGCACACTAATAAAGTAGTGATAGTACTGATAAGTGTTAAGTTATTCATGATGATTTATCATGATAAAATCAAAGATGGGTTCTCACTGATTCTAGCTATTTTAGATAACATCATCACAATGTTATTATGGATTAATTCTAACAGCTGGTAAATAAAACAGGAACATATGTCACAACCTCCTTGCTTTTGTGATTCACTTCAAAAAGTCATTTCCTTGAAATGTTAGCTGTAGCCTGGCCATGCTGTTTTTCTGCATGGATACATACTGATTCTACTTTCCACAAAATGAGGCTGAATGAATTGTATAAATTGTGTGGCAGGTGAAAGGCATGCATACACATTTTTTTAATTTTAATTCACCGATGGTATTAGTAGTGTTTATCTGGTACAGGAAAAATAACCACAACACAAGATCATTTTTTTTTCAATAATTATATATTACCAAAATCAGCAGAAAAACCATCTTTAAAGAATAATAAATAATGATGCAAATTGTTACCGGCACAACAAATAATGCTGGACAGCGGTAACAAAACCGGGAAGAAAAGAAGCAACATAATAATGATCGATGACTTAGTCATGTTTTTTCTACATCAGATACTGTGAAATCAGTAATTTTCGTGGTGTTTTTAATTTCCTCTATTTCGTGGGTACTTTTCATTCACGAAGTCATTGGTCCACAAATTAATTACAAGTTTTAAATAAAGCAATTGAGTGGGTGCTCATCCATGAATTCATGTACCCCCGAAAAGGTGTTTTGTCGGGAAATTGGGCCCCACAAAAATATCTGATTTCACAGTATTGAAACTGAAATCTTTATTCTCAAAATGCTTATCAAGTACTTTACATATCATGTTTTACAGAAATGATCATTATCTTTCTGAATCATTTATCATGTATGTAGAAACATCTGAAATTGATGTATGTATGCAAACAGTATTTTTATTAATTAATCTGTTAGCCATGTACGCAAGACACTATTACATAAAAATTACTTCATATAAAACTATGAAATTTAACGTGTATGCATGGCATTCCCCTGATAGCAATCTACAAATTTCATAGGGTAATCATTCATTAATTAATAGCAACAAAGTTGGGGTAAATTTATGAGATTGGTTGACAGCGAATGCAAATATCTTTGCAAAGGTAAATATACTTCTTTTTAATCATTTCACTAGTGTCCTCGCAAATGAATTGTCTGTAGTACAATCGGGGTAAATAACCATCCACAGAAACGGTTTATACAAGTACTAAAAACAGTAAATAAAATCTTAAATAACACTAACAAAGTACATAGAACATTCCATACTAACAAATTTAGTTTCCACTTTGTATGGTTTTGATCTTCAGCACATGAAACACAATAAATTCTTCTTAAAAAAAATGCATGAATTTCATGAAATCACAAATGAAATCAAACATTCCCCAACATCAGCAATGTAACAACACCTGTCATTGGCCAACATCTATAGATTTTTCGACAAAAAATCACACAAATACCGCAAAATACATACACATCATGCAATCTACTCCGTATAATTAAATCACATTGTATAATTAGGTATAGTACGTAATGACAGCACTGTGTCTTAGCAGCAAGCCGGTACCTGTGTACCACCAATCAACGAACTACGAAAATCTGCTGTCAACCGTACACTTGTGAAATATTGATGGTATTTAACATAAAACATAAGATATCATCTGTATTAAGGTTATGCCTCATTATTTGTTATAAGACGTTGTATTTCGTCTTTGCGTATTGCAGAGTTATCTTCTCTTGGGAGCAGGTATTGACTGCTACGTCACTTGTTTGAAAGAGTAACGTCATCAATTTTTGAGAAACCGACATAATTTTCTCACACAAACCAATGACGTAACAATCAATACCTGCTCCCAAGAGAAAATAACTCTGCAATACGCAAAGACGGAATAATGACTATGTGATCACATTTTCTTTTATTGTGATGGAATATATCACTCGAGATTCTAAAATGTTGAGAAAAAAACCGAACCAATGCTAATATATGTATTTCACCAAAATGCATTCACAGGTACCGTTATGTTGATTATATTCTGAAATATGAATTCTTTCAGAAGAGTCACCCTAGTAACATTAGTTACACGTTTATGAAATAGTTAAAAAAGTATGATAATGCCAAGCTTAAGTGGAAGTGTATGATTTATATGTGGAACAACATCAAATAAATATAGATATATATAAATATTTGTTTAACACGGTGAACAATTCTGATACATCGAGTCACTCTGTGGCATAGGGAACTGTGTAACACTCAAAATGACAGACAAATTAGTGTACGAGCAGGATAGCTGTGAAGATTTGTAGGAAAGGGTACAGCAGCCATTCAAAAATAAAAAAATAATTAATATAGTCTGCCAAGCTTTACAATGATGGAGGGGGGGGGGGGGGGATTACTATAACACTCACTAATTCGTAATTTTTCAAAGTTTTTGATATATCACATTTAACTTGCTCCAATAATGTTAAACCATTCTAAAATTGACTGAAAATCCTCATGTTGTTAGAAAATGTCTGGTAAGTGTTACAAAAAGTTAAGGAATATTAACAGCTCTGGAAATACCATATTACTTATCTTGCCCTTTTTGTGCCATATGTCATCATTTGAAATATTTAAATTAGCCCTTATTTTCAACCCAGCTGTAGCCCATCTTTGGTTGTTGTATATATGCTTAAAACAAATGTCTATAAAAACACCATTATAATAAAGCTTTATCTCATTCACCCCTGAACTTTCATAATGAACTATTCCACCCTTTGAATCGGAAGTGTTCAAATGTGTCTTCAGGGTTGAATGAGTTAAATCCCCTCAGGTGGATTTTTATCCGCAGTTAGTATAATGTGTAATTTATACCATCAAATACCTCCTAAACTGAACCCTGAATAAAGCGGTGTCCTGTGTAAAGAGACCCTATGTTAGATCCAATATGAATTTGTATGTTATAAAAGACTATTCAATCGAAAGGGAAAAATTGTTTTAGTATTACTGATCATTTTAAACATTTTACCGGGACTATTGAGATACGGAGAGCCTAGCGAGTTCAGCTTCGGAATAAATATTACACTAACGACCATCAATAACTTTTTAATGAAATGCACAAAAGTAAATGTGATAAAACTCGTAAACATAATACTCAGTATTAAACCAAATAATAAAATATTGGAATATAAAAGTACAAAAAAATGTATATTCTGCATATAACTGACAAAGCTGTTGGTTTTCTAGTTTTACAAAACACTTTGGTTTCTAATGACAAATTTAAAAATATATGTTTGTGAAAATTGAAACAGCAAAAAACCTTTCTTTAAAGTACATTGTATTTCAGTTTTTAAATTAAGTATTAAAAAGTTTTTTTTTTTTTATAATTACTCAAGCTTTCAGATCAATGATGTTTTACTATGTAAAAATTCTGGGACTGGGGATTTCACTGACAAATTGAAGGTTGAAACAGATTATACAACAGTATCACACAGAACATGTAGAAGTATCGTTCATGTCAACTCTGAGGTAAAACATTCATAAAATATACTTTGTTTATATCAACATTAAATATTTGTACTAACATCACAAACATGCTGTAATTGAAAACCGCATTACCTATCAAAATATACAAAATACAAATAGGTTAATTATTCACAACGCTCGTAATAATAGATACATGTGCTTATATAAATGTTTATGTTGGTACGCAATAGTGTTACTTACAGAAACACTGTCACCCTAACCGACTCGGCTAGGGAGAATTTCTCTTTAGCTCATTCGGTAGAGCATAAGACTAGTAAACCAGAGGTCCTGGGTTTGACTCCTAGTGGAGGCATTGAAAAAATAACGACCTCTGTTGCAACACAGTATAACATATCTTGAAGAATGTGTTTGCAGGTAACTGTTTTGCATACCATCATAAATATTACAAATATGTGTTTCAATCATAATGCTGTGTCGACATTCTTTACAACACCAAAATTATTCATCTTCAGTTCAAGAATGTCAATAGTGGAAAGTTGTGAAGTCAAGATCGAAATGTAACTAAATATGATCCGAGATTTGAAGCTGTGAATGGATAGTCGAACCTCAACAAACAGATTACGGACAAAAATAATAACAATTACTCATTATTAACAGGTGGTATCAAGGATAGACGATGGATTTACTATCTATCATTACAAGACTATGTGACGACTAACACTTTCAGATGGAAGTCTGGCTGTTTTATTTCTAAAGCTTTTGATTTCTAACTTTACATGTTGTTACATACATAAATTGATACATCTGCAATATAGAGTAGGTATTGATTGGATGAATTAATATATACAAAAAAACCAGACACAACACTAAAATGGTTATACATACACGCAAACAGGGGATAGTACATTGATTTGGGTGTCTTAAGTGATAATCAAAACAAGAACTATTTTGCACTCTGGTCTGGTAGGTCGACCAACAGTTTAAACCGAGTTTCAAGTTCTAACATCAATATTTGGCCTAAGAGATGGGATGATTTTATGCACCAGGTTTGGCCAAGGGTAACTGGATAAGATGTTGAAAATTTATCAGCCTATATTTGTAACTGGGTCCCCTCCTCTCTGTCCTTTAAAATAGTAGAGCCACGCCCTTTATTTACATAAAACTGGCTTTCTTTGGTTCAGAAATGATTCAAACCAATGAATTTAGTTCAAATTTATTTATTTGAAATAGAAGTAAGGTATATCCCAATAAATGACTACAATAAAGTAGGACAGTAGTCAGCACATCTGAACACAACTTGTAACGCACAGTGTCCATCTGGGAACAAACCTAAAAGTTGGCCAGTGATTTAAACGTATACTCTGTATCACTCATACAATGTATGTTTGACGGAGGCCTAAAGAGATTCCAGTTATAATCCCCTGTAAATGTTTAAGCCAATCAGAGGCCTTGGTAGTCATCTTAAATCCCCAAACTTCAGAGAAGTCGGTCACTTCACATAAACCATACCCTTTGGAAGTTTGACACATACAATGAAAGCGTATTGGACAAATTTGCAGTGGAGGAAGAATGAACAAGAAGAAACGGTAAACAATAAGTTCTGAACGTAACTAACTTTGTACATTACAAACTAGTATGCAACTTGCTCAAAAAAACTGTAACAATTTTAAAAGGTAGAAAAATATTTGGTTTAAGGAATGCAAGAAGTCAAAGAGGTATTAAGGACTTAACAGTTTACAAAATACTTCAATTCAGAACACTTCTATTTCAGAGGCCTGTGAATGTATGCGATTTTTAAGAGCAAATTCCTAGCTTTGTTTTTTAACAAATGTATAGACAATGTCACACCAGATTTCTGGCCGCTTTAATAATGTAAATAAGTCTCAAAAATCTTCATATTACAATACCCTAACTACAGAAAGACGTCACAAAATCATCAGTGATTTATATAACACGATAACATACGGTTACTAAGACAATATTTATGTACTCTGGCCAAAACTGATGTCTCCAAAACATCAGACTGATAGAAACTCTGTTCTTAGGTTAATTATACACATTAACTTAAACTCATTCACCCTATATATTTAAAACGGACTTGCCCAGTCTTTGATTTGGTAAGGTTCAAATGTGTCTTTAGGGGTGAATGGGTTAAAATAATATGTTATGATATGATATACTTTTGAAAACACAAACACAACACAAAACTAAATTCAAAATGTAGCTGCAACTGTTAACAAACATTAGTTGATAAATAAATAAGTACAAAAACAGTTTTATAATCCATCTGGTTGACACGATTAAAAGTAAAACGTCACACAAAGGTATGATTTCACCAGACCTGTACCGACCACAGGTAACGTATAACACAATACCTTAGCACCTAACCCTTGGGTCAGTAGGATTTTAGTGCAGAAAAGCCTATTAAGCACTTTCCATTCGACCACACTTAATGGCAAACATGCATTACATAATTATAAAGTGAAATTAGAAGTACATTAAAAATATAGTGTTGACAGTATCTTTGAACGCTCAACTCATAAGAGATGTTTTTGTCACTCAGAACAATGAGAAATAATATTTACCGGTAACAACAAATATTATCAAACACAGTCTCACTCTGAAACAGACTTAATGTCAAAAAACAGTCTTACTGAAAACACACATTCTTGCCTTATCCTGAAACAGAACACACTCACACACCTTGCTGTCTCACTTTCAAGCAGCCTCACTCTCAAACACAGCCTCATTCTAGATCACATTCCAGGCAGCTTCACTTTCAAACACAATATTAAAACACTTTTTTCTACCAAACTTCTATTTTAGGAAGAATCAACAAATGAGTCTTATTAAAAACAACAAAGATAAAATATTGTGATGCAGGCACTAGAATAAGTCAGCCATTGCCACTCGAGCAGTGTGTTCTAATGAAGTCAGAGCTTGCAAAGTAACACTCAGAAGGCATATAAATCACTGTGTAAAAAAGAACACTTTCTTTCATTCCCTGATAAAAGTTGAACACATAATCACATACATCTTCACCGCTATCTCATTTTGTTTCAAGTATACATACTAACCACTCAAACTGATGTATTTCCTATGAAATATTTGATGATCATGAGATGATAGCTATTGAAGAGGGCCGTCGCTTTATCTGTTATGCAACTAAGACCTGATGATACATCTTGGTAGGGTGATGTTGATAAAGAAACGTTTTCCATCCTTGAAGAAGACTGAGCCTCCTCACTGGGACAAAATTCCGTTGAAATGAGGAATGGACAGTCATGCAGGAAACTCTTAAGAAGAACATCCCACAGGAAACCTTTCAAATCACAGCAAACAACATTCCATCAGCAGTTTCTGAATGATGTCCAGTCACATGAAGCAGAGTTTGACAGCGATGAAGAGATTTTGTAGTCACACTATGGCATTTCCATTACTGTAAGAAAATAGGACAAATATGTGTCGGATACATTTAACAATATCAAAATGATAATATAACATGAGGATTATAGGCCTAATGGTTGGTTGGTTGGTTATCAGGGTTAAAAACTCCATCACCCCCAAAATTTCATAATGAACTATTCCAACCTTTGAATTGGAAGAGTTCAAATGTGTCTTCAGGGGAGACTGAGTCAACGTCCTATCAACAGCTAAAGTCCTTTAAGGATGTGAGCCCTAAAGGTCAACTGAGCTTTGAGACACGACTTTTGTATAATATGTAATGTGAGACACAAAGTAAACAAGAGGTTCAGAGAGCCTGTATTGCCCACCTTGATTTCTAACCAATGATGGCAAAATATTTTCATTAATAATATAACAATAGACTTACATATACTATGTAATCTAAGGACAGTATCTTACATTTGTCCTTACATTGTAGACTCTTTTTACTAAATGTATCAAACACACTTTTCAAATGTTGCACCTTATGTTATTTTTCTTTCTTTCTGTTTGAGATCAAAAAGGACAAATGTTAAATAAACAGGAGTAAATATATCCCTTTTAACCCTTTCACCACTGTAGACCAGAATGGAATCATCCAGATAAATGTATGGTAGAGCCTACTAAAATACCTAGGGGTGAAAGGGTTAAATGTATCAAATCAGCTTTGCCCATAAAATCATTTCAGCTTGTTTTGTTTCTCTTAATCCTAGGAGTTCTTAACTCATAGAAAGTATTGGTCCCATTTAGTGTAACTACCACAAACTAAGGAAGTATATATACCTCAATCAGCTGAATGTCTGTTTCATCATAAGTAGGCACCTTCATAGTGGAATATTTCAAGCCCAGCATGTCACCCATCTCATTAATGATGGCCAAGGCCTAAACAGCAATCATATATACCATAAGTAGGCTAAAACATGCGTTTTGACAATAATCTTTTTCAATGTTGTTATTGACACATTAACAGTAAATATTTAGCTTATATATGTACATTATTCATAGCATCACCTCATTTACCCCCAAAATTTCATAATGAACTATTCCAATCTATGAATCGGAAGAGTTCAAATGTGTCTTCAGGGGTGAATGTGATAAGATCTTACTGTGAAATCACTCATTCTTGTGGTGTCTTTAATTTTGTTAATTGTGTGAGTAATCTTCATTGACAAATTCAAAGTAATTACAAGAGTGGTATTCTTCGTTTGAATGGGTACTCATAATCCACAAATTCATGTACCCACGGAATAGTGGTTTTTAGGAAAATAAGTTTCAAAATTATAATCAATTTTGAATAATTAATGACTTAATCTACAATCTTGTACTTAACAAAAGATGTTCATAGTAGATGAGGGTAACCATAACTGAACAAGTGCTTACTTTGTCCAACTGTTCTTTGGTGTGAGCGGCTGAAACGCAGAATCTGGCTCGGCATTCAATGATTGGCGTTGCTGGGAAACCAACCACAACCACCCCCAGACCTCGATCAAGACACATACGTGCAAAGGCTCTGTAAAAAGGAAATGTAGATTATATTACTGTTATGTAACTGGGGATATAAAGAGGAATTCTAAAGAAAACTCAAAGACAGACAGATGGATGGTTGATACACCATCGTAACAATCTCAGAAATTGTTTCCCTAAGCAGCAAAATATTTCTGTGATAAACTTTTACGTCGCACAGCTACATTTCATACGATAAATACATAAAATAACTAGTTTATTTTCTCTGTAATAATAATAATAATTCAAGGTTCTCATATACTGCTTTATCACAATCAAGTTTGAAGGTCGTCTCAAAGCGGTTCACAAATTATTATCCGTAGTTATAGGGCCTTAACAACTAGCCAACATATTTCTCAACTCCCTGGGGAGCATACAGCCGGTGCTGCCATTTCGGCACTCACAGATAGCATTACACAGTTCTAGCACTGCCCAACCACATACTTATTTACAGCTGAGTAGACTGGAACAAGCAGAGTAAAGTATCTTGCTCAAAGATACAACGCAGTGCCGTGCCGTGACTCAAACCTGCAACCCTTCGGTCACGAGCCTGGCGTCCTACCACTAGAATACTGTGCCTCCTGTTCAGTGATTCTGTCTGATTCTTTAAGATCTTTCAGAAGCTAACATTTCTTCAGACTTTGTAAAAAAGACAAGAGTAATGATAAACTTAACTACACAGGAATACCTTCAGCAAATTCTTTTTAGTGTTAGTAAAGTATATAATAGTATATCATAGTAGATTTACTACAAGGGGAGGTCACTCAGACTGTTAATTCCTGTCTGTCTCTGATTAAGCTTAATGATCCCTGTCACACTGCACTGCAGTTTTTCATACATACAGTAACCTCTCCTTCATTTCATTTTGGATGTTAACTGTAGCCCAGTTGGGCCAGGACATTTCTGTTGATCCGGTAGCTCAGTCGGTTAGAGTGTTAGAATATCAACCTGTAGTCCGGGGTATGAATCCAGGTCTAGGCCCACTGTTTTTTTTGTGTTTTTTTTTAATCAGAACAATGTTTTGATTAATGTTTGGTTTATTTAACCTCTGTTATGATTCATAAAAAAGTCCCACAAGATATGCATTTCTTTTCAGAAAACATGTTTTATTAAAGTTATAGTCACGTTGACAAAAATGATTTCCAGTGCCTATTTACTGTCTTTGGCAGTGGTACAAGGATCCTTAAACAGACAATTTTGTAGACACCAGAGTATCCAGACTTCTATAAGGTAACATATTATCGCAATGTCTACTTACGCGACCTTCGTAGGCATAAACATCAGCATTGGTACCACGGGCGAATCCTTGTTACCGTAGATGATGAAGCCCATTTTGTGTAGGCGATGTCTGAAGTACCGTGTGTTCCACTTCAGCTGTTGGATTTTCCTTTTACCTATAACCAAACCAATTCAACTGTTATGAGACTGGAAATGATGTTACAAAACACACTCAATACAAAAAGTACAATGCAGATAGCAACAGGTCCCATGGTGATGTGTTTTACCTAATAGTGTGTTGTCTAGTCCCATTATGATCTTCATGGAGGAGATGGTCTGCTGTAAGACACACGGTGACATTGACGTGGAGTAAATTGCTGCGTGGGAGTTTACTCGTAAGTGTCGCACCAAACTCTGCAATAAAAAAATACCATCAGCACTGTCAGCAAGCATTCTTACAGAAAATATTAAACTTTATTCCTTCTCCTTTAAATTTTGTCAAGTGTTGAGTACAATGACATGAGTCTGAAGAATAAAAGCATTTTTTTTTTCAATTTGTATATTTTACCTAATCAATTGCAAGGGCCAGACTTGCTATTAACCTGTTCTTGAAGCTTAACTGTTTGGTTGGAGTGTTCGTGTTAACTCATTATGTGATGATCCATGACCATGGGACAGGAGTATTTTTGGACCCCTTGTGGTTGATAGATACCAAGTAGAGGCCTAGACTCACTAGCATTATGTACTAGTTTGAGCTAATCAAAGTGCTGATATAACGGTCCTTAATTAGTGTTTCAAATCGATGATATCCTTCAAGGAATGAAGCTGCTACAGTGTAGACAATGATCTTTTTAAAAATAGTAACAGTTACCTTGACCAGACAACTCTGCAAACCAAAATTGTCCAGTAAGATTATAGGAAAGTTTACCGCTATGAATGCTGTACACACTAGAGTTACAGCAATAATTCATTTAGGGACTTAATATGACTCATGGTTTCAAAGAATTTGTTTCAAGTTTATATTTTTGGCCTGATTAGTACTGAAGTTCTGGACTGATTGATAAATGCGTGTCAGTTTTGGCTGATTACTAGTAAAGTCTGTTCACAGCCTTACTGATACGCTTTTTCCCCTCTTGTGCTGCCATTACCTTACTGCCACCAATATAGCCTCCGGCTGCACCAAAACTCTTTGTAAATGTCCCCATCATCACATCAATATCACGGGGATCCAGGCCAAAGTAGTCAACCACACCCTTTCCGTTTGGCCCGAGAGCCCCCACACTGTGAGCCTCATCCAAGTAGATGTACGCCTTGTACTTCTTTTTTAGTCTGACCACATCTGGTAGACGGATAATGGATCCCTCCATACTGAAAAGAAAATTATCATAATTAGTTTGACATCTGTAAAACAAGAGGCCCAGAGGGCTTGCATCGCTCACCTGGATATCTAAGAAATCATGGCAAAATATTCTCCAAATGAGATCCAAGGGAATATGCCAGACCCCAATGCCAATTTTTGTAGTATGTCTGTATTATATTTGTCATGCCCAGCAATTTAATGTATGGTTATGGGGTGGGGATCTCAACTGTTTCCAAGCTGTTACTCAGAAACTAGATTCCTAGGGTTGTGGCCAGACCCCAGGATCAATTCTAATATCATGCCTGCATTCATCTCTTTTTTCCAAGCATTCATATTTATAGTTCTGGGGTGGGGATCTCAACCGTTTCAAAGTTAAGACCCAGAAAGGGTGGGGGCTAGACCCTAGGTCATCCTGGAAGCAAATGTGCATTCTTCTCTTTATACTACACAATTTTATATAAGGTGATACCGTGGGAATCTCAACAATTTCCAAGTAATAAACTTTTTTACTTTATTTGGCCCTATTTGGCCCTATTTGGCCCTACCCCTTAGCATGGGGGGGGGGTTGTTGTCAGCAGCCCCATTATTTCTACAATTTTGAATCCCTACCTCCCATGAATACTTCTGACCAAATATGATCGATATCCATGGCATAATTCTACAGAAGAAGTCGTTTATAGAAATATAGCCAAATTGCCCCCTTTTGGTTGGTCCCGCTGCTCAGCCCCCTGGGGAGCCAGCCAAACCATTTGTACAATTTTGAATCCCCACTACCTAGGGATGATTCCAGTCAAATATGGTTGATATCCAGTATATTGTTCTACAGAAGAAGTTGTTTGTAGCAATATAGCCAAATTGCCTCCTTTTGGCCCCATCCCTCAGTCCCCTGGGGGGTCAGCCCAACCATTTGTACAATTTTGAATTCCAGCCACCTAGGGATGCTTCCAGTCAAATACGGAGGTCAGCCCAACCATTTGTACAATTTTGAATCTCCATAACCGCGGAATTTTTCCAATCAAATATGGTTTATATCCTTCTCTTAGTTCCAGAGATGAAGTCGCTTAAATCAATATAGCCCAATTGCCCCCTTTTGGCCTTGCCTCTCAGGCCCCTGGGGGGCCAGACCCACGGTTTATACAAAACTGGTTCCCCTTCACTCAATGATGCTTCAGACCAAATATGGAACAAATCCTTTCATTGCTACAGAAGAAGGAGTTTAAAGAATTTACTATGTGTTCCCTATTGGGCGCCGCCCCTCAGGCTGAGCAGACCCACGGTTAATTTACATAATTGGTTCCCCTTCACCTATGGATGCTTCAGACCAAATATGGAATAAATCCTTTCATTCCTACAGAAGAAGGATTTTAAAGAATTTGCTATATTTCCCCCATTGGGCCCCGACCCACAGCCCACAGGAGGGCCAGACCCACCATTTATACAATGTCAAACAGCTAGACTAACAATTTAAGGTTTTCACATGATCTGACAGAAGCGGCTATGTACCTGTAAACTCCTTCCACAACAATTAGGATTTTTTTCCAGGGTCGGCGTGTTCTGGGCTGACCCTCTATCACCGCTGTACGCAGCTTATCCTCCAAGTCACGCATATCTGAAAATCAGGTATTCTTTGTCAACAGGTTGTTAAACTTAAAATGTCATTAACTCACTAAATATACTACCTGAAACAGCCAGGCACCATCTCATTGAGTGGGGAACCTCCCTATTATTGATTCCACTAATAAGGAAACTTACTATCTCAACTCTTAACAGGGAAGTGAACAACATATAATACTAAGTATAACTCAATAATCAGGAAAATCGGTTATTTTGTATTTTTCCTGTGAAATGTGATTCTAGCTACATTGTACTGATTTATAAACTGATTGGATAATTTCTCCTTTTAAAATCAAATTATATATTGCCTCAACTTGATCAAGAAAAGTTAGTACGTTTTTGTAGTCCAAAACAGAACAGAAAACAACATGATACCTTAAGTTGTTAATTTTTGGGCCTGCTCCCTAGTTGTTCATCACACTTCAGTGTCCTTTAAAGTGGGTCAAGGTCAAATTTACTGAAATATTTAGTTATCATTCAGATCAATAATTTTATATAGGTCTTTACTTACTGTTGTGTTTGTAGGTCCTGATTGTAGCACCACTCAGTCTGGACCCAAGCACCAGGGAGGCATGGTTTAGCGAATCACTTAGAATCAAACTACCCTGTGGAAATTTGCATACAAAATGTTTAAAAGTGTGATCCTAGTAACAGTTACTATATCTAAAATGGTGCATAACTGTCGGAATCTCTAGTCTGGTCTAACTAAAAGAGGTAACCATTATTCTGTACATACATATATGCCTGAAAGCAGAAACTTTCAAGCCCTGAAAATTTGATATACCGGTAACTAGACTGTCCAATGGAATTAAATCTCTGTATAAAATGGACTGCTCAATTTCGAAACCACTAAATGATGATGGGGAATTATTATCCAAGTAAAATCAGACTAAAATTTGCGCTTAGTTACAGATTTGAATTTGCCGTTAAGCAGTTAAGTACAGTGACAGTGGAGTACAAACCTTTCCGACTAGACATGGCATGTTCATAGAGTTGGTAGCGAAGCCCATAGGCATGGTAAACGCTGCCTCCATGCCAAGGAATTGGGCAACAAGTTCATCAAGCTCTTTGTGTAATTCAGAGTAACCTGAAGAAAAAACAGAAATTGCATCAATACATAATAGATTTTCCTTGATTACATTTTAATAAGAATATCACAAAATGGTGGAACATACCAACAGTAACTACATCACATGGTAACTTTTTATCAAACTTTGGTAACATTGTTCCTTCAAGGCGAGGTTTTCATCTGGTTAACTGATGAGTGTGTTAAAAGGAAAGAACAGATTTCTTAGTTTTGGCATCAATCATTTTCTTCTGATCAATTTCAGAATGAAATGTGCAAAACTAGGAAATAGGAAGAGTGTTCCGAACAGCAATAACAAACTTTGATTATCAAGTATTAGATGTCTGCCTAGAGGCAATCGTTTTATTTTATCAATCAAGCTAAAATGATATTTACAACTGAGAGCCAAGAGGAGTGAAACAGTAACGATATTGCTCATAAAAGATTTCTCCAGTACATGTACTGTTAAATTCCAAGATGGCTGTCTATATATCTAGCAGCCGTCTTATTCTTGCGATCAGTTTCAAAGTTGAAAAAACTTGGAAAGTTTGAAAAGGCTCCCTCTACTACTTTCTGAGAAACAAGGAAAAAAACCTTTAGCTGTCAACATCCAAGATGACTGCCCATGGCCAGCGACCATTGTGTTCTTTCAATCAGCCCCAGACAGAGTGAAACATGCAAAAATAAGGACCAGCAGGAAGTTGCTCGAAAATTTGAGAAAGACATTGAACCACTTTCCGAGAAATAATGACAATATCAATCTGTCAAAATCCTAGATACAATTTAAGATCAAGGGAAGCATACATATAGAAGGTTAGCAAGATCTGTCCAGCAATTCCAGATAATCCATAATCAATGACTGTTTAACAGTCATTTTATTCTTTTGATCAGTCATTTTATTCTTTTGATCAGTCCCAAAAGTTACCATACACACTCCAGGACCAAGAAGGAACCTTCGTGTGAAGTTTGACAAAGATCCATCCAGTACACCTTGTGAAATAGCTATAACAAGATTTGTTTACAGACGAATGACTCATAATTTATAATGGACCATAGACAAAAAGTAATTTAACTCATTCACCCCTGCATATTTAAACTGGACTTGGCCAGTCTTTGATTTGGTAAAGTTCAAATGTGACTTTAGGGGTGAATGGGTTAAACAGCCCACAAACTGATGTTGATTGGCTAAAAAATAAACATGGTGTATACCCAGTCTAAATATAGCAGGAATACTTACCTAACTGTTGTGGGCTACTACAAAAGGACATCCCATACTTTCTTGTTGATTCCTCGGCAGCGTCAGCACATGGACCGTTATTTTGAGAAAATCCAAGATAATTGTAGGATCCCAAATTCATTACACGAATTGTTTTGCCCGTATTTCTAGAAAAGACAAGCAAGTTTGAGGAATCAGAATAAGAAGCAGATGTAACGTGTTATAAAAAGAGTGGAATCACAGCATCAGCAGGCAATAATTATACTGCAGCAAATAAAATGAGTTAAAGTTGCACAATACCATATAAAAAAAGTCTGTTTTTAACCAATCATCTATAATGATATCCCATGATAGATTGTCCGCAATCAGCTAACTTTTCAAATATATTTTTTTCTATTATAATCAATCATCAAATGAATTGGTTATAAAGTAAAAACATTTGTAAAAGGCATTGAGAGAAACATTTGTGTTGAGACCATTTTGTCATAATTGACATAACAATAACAATAATGCTTTGTCTTTAGATGGAACAACTCATTTAACAAACGATGGTTTTATCTTCCATGAGGATCTCTTCGAAAAAAATACAAATTCAAGGCAAAATATTCTCGTTTGAAAAGCAATGTTGAAAACATTATGTCTACAGAGGTAGGACTAGAGCCCTGTGGAGCTTATCTTGGTAGCATGATGGTGTTCATTACTTCATAACAACTGTATATTCTGTATGTATACGTACGTAAAGTTCCAGCCGCTGTCCGTAGATACCCTCTCCACGACATCCAGCTCGGCTCCAGCACCACTAGCCACAGGTCTGTTCCAGCAGTCGCGTATCCGGCGATATATATTCCTGGTATAAAAACTCTCCCAGCTCTGATACAGCGGAACAAAACCCTGTCACAAAAAGACATAAATCTTCTGATAATGGAAAATAACAAGAGGCCGGGGCATACCACATACCTTAACCTGTTTTTATTTGTTTTCTAAACTACAAATAGGTTGAAAATAATTCTGACAATTAATAGACCATATGGTGGCCATGTTGAATTTATTATTGAGCCAAACAATTCAATAACAACACCCGGTCAGGGTAATAAGACTTAAGTAGAGGGAAATTTGTATCAATTTTGGTTAACATTATCCCCACAGAACTTAGGATTTAGTGAAAAAAAAAGTATAGTCAATCGTAAAACGGGTGTCTATCTTTGATTTCCAATCAACCCAAATATTAACAACACCTGTTAACATGTAAGAGGAATATTATAAAATACAAAGTAACTGGCTCTGTGGAACATAAAACATAAAAATGTTTCAGTCAATTAGAAATCAGGACGGTCATTTTTCCTTCTGAAATGACTGAAAAGTAATGAAACTAGACCAGGGCCATAGGCGTATAATTCGCCAATCATAAAACAACTTGTCAAAATTTGCCAGATTGAAGTCAAAATTGTGACTGTTCTTGAAGCCAATTATATTCAGAGGCCAGCAGAGGTTTCTTTAATTCTGGATCTATCCAGAAAAAAATAACCAATCTTTTTAGAGCCATGAAATGATCCTTTGCACCAATTTATAACTTATCTAGGAAACCTGAGAAGGAGTTACTAAATAAAGATGTTAAAGCTCCTTCATGACTCTTATCCTTTACCTTCACAGGGACCACACCATCAATGATTTAATATTTTTGAAATCTATTTGAACTTTGATATCCATTTCCTTATAATAAGTATAATTAGCTAGGCTCTATAATTATCATCCATTGGGACAGGAAACTACCATTATTCAGTCGGCGATCCACTCGGATCTGTCTGCATGAGGTAAAAATATTAACAGAAGCAAGGTAACCTCCACATCCCATATCCATATAGCAAGCTAGGCGTGTTATATACATACGGTATACAGGTGTTTAAATTAATCTAATTATGTTATACTTACAGGTAACTTTGGCTCTGTACATGACTTTACTTTTTCTAGTCCAATATTTCTTAAAAAGTCACGGATATGTCCGAAAACCACAAGCAGTCCAAAGCAGAAATAGGTGTATATGGCTGCTATGATGGGAGTCTCTTCAAACGACTCCCAAAAATTGTCCTGCCAATCTGGTATCTGTTGAAATACAATGAAAAAAAAAAGGCTTAATGCAACATTTCTAACACGTATATTTGTTATTTATAAATTAGCATTGAACATGACATAACAAGGGATAATCCTGAATGGGGCCATGGGGCTATTGACCCCCTCTAAACTGAAATTGACCCCTCCATATTCCTATTTTCTTTTTATTTTACATAGAATGGCCCGTCTGAAGTTTGATATTGACTAAAAATTTCTGAAAATTGCCCACCGCTCTCAAATTCCAGGATTTTCCCAGCTTAACGAGGGAGGGTGGAATAGGTATTAAATACAATGCAGCTATATAGTTACCGCTGTGTTAAGTGATGTGACAGCTTTATCGATCGATGTTTGAAATATAAGCCAGTGATTTAACTTTTCCGCTCATCCCCATATTTCTGTCACTGATTATTCAGCATGATAGAATTAATGATAATTATCAGTTGGTATCAATATCCAGAATAGAGTCTACGAAATAACTACTGACTTATTTACCCTTCCAACCCTTAAAAAATAATACTCTTATTATCACCAACAGCTGCTAAATTCTGTCAGCAGAGTCCTCAATTTTCAATTATTCAAATTTTCCCATCTGAGCTAACACCATTTTTGTATGTCATGGGGTGAGTGACTAATCAACAAACCGTACTGATCCGGACCAAAAACGGAATATATAATTCTTGTTTAGAAGATTTCCGGACTGCGTCTTTCTGTTGATTAGTCACTCCCCGATACCAAACAGTGCTGGAGAATTCAACGTTTTCATATACAATGTAGCAGTGCATTCTAGCCCCACACCAGACATCTGTATGTCAAAATGTCTAAGTCTGGTGTTAGGGCCAGAGGAAACTTGGGCTACATTCAAAGATATATTGTTTGATCATGAGGTTTTCTCCCAGTTGCCAAAAAATATCCCTATACACTGTAATACATATATACACTCACCACAATAATTTGTTTTACCTGCTTTCAACAGGGCATAGAGCCTTTTGACTTTTGGAAAAACAAAACATAACATATAATATGTGATATAACACAAAAGAATGGTTTGGGGAAAATAAGGTGATTTTTGCATTGATTTGTGGTAAAAAAAAATCATAAGGGAATTGGCTATTTTAAGGCCCCATATTCAACCCAAAAAATCTCTGAAAGGAATTTGATAATGCAAAATCAACGTATATATGTGTTTGTGTTCATAACATATCATTGTTAACAGCTTCACTTTGAAATGTGACATCTCTCTATTTTTTTCTACAATTTATTCATATGCAATACACGTTGAGTTTAATAAAAGAAAGAAAAAAAGTAGTTACACAACATGTCTTAAAGTGGCACGATTTTTGACCTTGTTTATCTGCACCATACACCATAACAGTAAATGTTTACTTTATCGCTTGACAACTGATTGAATACGGGACGTAACTCTGCATTTTCTGGTAAATCGGTGGGCGTGGCTTCAAGATAAAGTGGCCTAATGTTTTGAAAGTTATTCGAAAAACTAAAATTATTGCGCAAATAAATTTGATTTTAGCTGAATGAATATCTCTGTTGAAAAAAATATCAAAAAACTCTTTCATGTACACAAACTATGTGAACTATATTATGAAATATGGGTGTGCGAGTCCCACCCAAAACTTGCTAGTGTCAAGATTCTTTCGAAATCATAAATTGACATAGGCAGCGGGATTACCTTTTTAGAATCGCCATTCTTTCCATTAGTCGTATGTCCGTTTTTGTGATAATGAAAGCCATTTGTTTTTCCGTTTGTCACATGATGTATCGAACCGTTCCCAGCTCGGACGGCATCACCGTTCGCCATCTTGAATGGTTTGTGATAGTTGTTAACTATTTGTAACACCTTCATTGATTGGTTCTTCGAATATAGCCATATCCAATCAAATGGGACTTGTTATGCAGGTTACTTTCGGAATATTTTGTACTTTACTCATGTTATTTTTTCTTTTGTTAATTTTGATATTCAACCTAGGCTTGCACATATTAAATTAAAAAAGAAGTGTCATTATGGATATTTTCATATCAAATTTGAGCTATAATTGTTAATCGTTTATATCAATTTGAAACATATATTTTTTATGTGGCAAACCCAAAGACGTCCCGAATGAATGTGTATTCGGCGCATGACCATTACGTCAGGTCTAATCCAACTTCTTTCGGATCCAGGTTGCATGCGACTGTGTCGTGCGGTTTCAAATTGTCGGTGATATTATTTTGAAAAGCACACCAAACGTAAATTCAGCAATGGCAGATTCCATCGGAGATATGCAACGAAACTCCGAGCATGCTTATGCCGACGACTTTGAAAGGGTGGATAAAGTCCCAGAGCAAGACGAGGCGATAACCACTACTTCGTTCACCGGTGAGGAAGCGGAGGAGGATCGTTATGAATCTGGTACTACATCAGAGGCGAATGCCACTAGTCCTCTCCTAAATTTTGATGATGACCTGACACCTCAAGAACCCCATACTAGAGAACCTTTAATAAGTTTTGGTTCTCAGCCCGGCCTTGCCGAGCCAACAGCACCCCCTGCACCAACAAGTGAATTTACAAGTGGGATGGGGGAGACTAATCGTGGCTTTGATTACGAACTCGAACCAGATACTTCACCATTCATACAACCTGAAACAAAAGTAGCCTCAGAACCTGTATCAGTCTCCAAACCACCGGCAGGTAACGAATGAGCGATCCTGATTGTATAGGCACGTCTTTTGTAAATGTGTTCACGTCATGCTTGGCTTTCCTCCAAATGGAGTAGCCTGTCACTATGCCTTCTCTGGAGGATCTTCATTCTTGCATTATCTTCTATCTGCTAATTCTATCTCTTATTGTTTGTAGTTTTATATATAGTAAACAATATCGTTGCAATTTCTTGAATGCATATATCACTACCAGATATTGTCATATGGGTCTTCCCAACCAAGAATTCAAGAATACTTTATAAAAGATACCATTGATCCAGTTATATTTTAAAACATTAATTGTCATATCTGTACTTTTTCACACAACATTTTATCTTATTGTATTAATTTGGAAGTCCATATCCGTTATATAAGTCAGTTCATACAAAAATTACAAACTCTTTAAAAATAATTCGGGAAGCATTATTTCATGTTGTACAGAAATAGACAGGACTGGAATTTCCATCTCTCATTGACTTAACATTGGTCAGTAACACCTGGCTATTTAAATTCAAGCCAAATGTGCACATAGCAGCAGAGAGCTGATCATGTACTGAACTGACCTTCAACTTTGGTCGTAAAGGCTTGTCATAGTAATTTTAGTGTGTTCACTGGAGTATGACTGGGTGTCTGCACTCGTACAGGTGTATATACATGTGTGTGAATGTAGTAACATAGCACACTCCCAGATTTGCTGCTTGGTGTAGAGGGGCAAAGTCCAGTAAGGGGAAATTCAGAGAAACCCTTTATAATCCTACTACAAGAATTTTAACTTTATTTAGGGTCCCTGGGCCAATTTGACCTAATTTTGTATAAAGTGAGGGGTAATATTCCCTTACCTGGGGGGCAGTTGGATAGCCCAATAAGATAATTAGGAGTAAATCTTCGAAATCCTACTTCATTAAGGGTAAAGAGGACACCAAAAAGTGCGAGACTGTGACCCCTCATAACTTTGGGAGGGGGGGGGGGGGGGGGGGCGTATAGGNTGAGGCCGTATAGGGGAAATATTGATAATTAATATCTTTAGGGTGAAGAGATTCTTTTCTAATTTGGCATAAAGGATCCTTGACAGAGAGACTAAACAATGAATTTGTGGCAGAGGGTTGGGCCCCAATATGGGAAATTGAAGTAAATCTTGACAATGTATATTCTTCCATATGGATGAAGACATTTAATGTTTTTGTAATGGTAGTTGTACATAGGCCTTACAGTGTGATATACTGTAGGTATGATATTTTTTTTATCAATACTTCCTCCACAAAAAAAATAGTTTCCTTTCTTTCACAAACAACCTTCCGGGAATTCCCCACTTTCATTTTCTATTTTTTATGCACATGAATCAAAGTGTCACCTTCCTGACACAAACACACGCTTTAATGATAAAGGAAAGTGTCTAAGGTCATTATATAGCTACAATTAAGTCCGTGAGATATTCTGAAAGAAAGCGTTGCAGAGAAAAATTTGCCACTTTTCTCCAAGTGTAGAAAAGGTATAAAAGAAAATATGATTTTAATACTATGAAATCAGGATGAGTTAAAATCTCACAATTAAAAATCTTCAGTATTTTTTTTAAATGCGCCTGAATTTGGCTCTTAGATAACTGATTTAAAATGAGAAAAATGGGAGGCCAAAACCATCTTGCCATTCTCTAATATATATAAATCGTGATTTTATCGTGCATGCTAAAATAAACAATTCATGATGCATGAGAACCCTGTAAAAATATACAGTGCATGTCTGTTCTGCAACAAAGCATTGGGGTTCAAGTTTAACATGGGTTCAAGTTTAACGTGAGTACATGTTAAAAAAGACAATTGTTTTCCATACAGATAAAGGGAATTTAACCTAGATCTTATTATAAAACTTCCTTTGGTCAATGTGGCTAAATTGGCATAGGGATGGGGACATAGTGTTTGCCAACACAGGATTTAATGATCCCCGTACTAATTGCATAGTATTTGAAACTATTTTTTCCAGCATGACTATAACCTTGCAGGTAACTCATTTTGAAAGGAAAACTATACATTGTGAGACTTTATGGAAAATAATAAAGATGAAATAAACAAAATATAATCAACAAGAGTGCTCCCGAATGTAAAATATTCAGTGGGCTAGACCGGGATTTGAACCGTATTCAGTGAGCTACCTCGTCAATGGAAGTGTTAGGGTCAAACACTGCTACAGTTACAATGTATATCCAAATGCAAAAGTTAAGGGGAGGTTACTGTGTATAGGAAAAACGGCAGTGCAGTGGGACAGGGATCCTTAAGGTCTTGAATAGGATATATAAGAATATATTTTGAAAAATTTTCATAACTTCTTAACTATATTTCTGCCTGATCTCCGCTTGTATTGACATGTATTTTGGCACTTTTAATATGCATGCATCATATTCAACATACCATTCAATATAAGTAAAAAGCAGGAGAGCTGTACTCTAGCCTCTAGGTCTCTTATTCACAATTTGGAATGGAATTGAATAAATCAAACCTAATGTATATTGACTTAAGTTTGAGTTTAAAGTCATTGATATTATTTATGGTTAATTAAATTGCATGCTTCTGGCTTGTTTTAATTCTCCTAATTCTGAGGTTGTAAAATTTCGTTTAGGAAATGTATTCATAAATGTACTAGAAAATGATATTCACAGTATTAATCTTGATAATGATTTTTTTTACAGACACATGGTTGAAGAATGTTGACCCAAGAGGTAAGGAGATTTTGTTATGTAGTCTATAATCTTACTTAAATATACTTAATGTTCACTATAGCACCTACCCAAACAGCAACAGAGCTTATGCCATATGGCATGACATCTGTTTTTCTCCAACCACCTGTCTTCAATTTTATTTTTTTAAATGCTGTTGGTCCAGAATGGCTGTTAAGCAAATTTTGACAAAGTTGGGTTCCCTTATTTTGGGGGCAGAGGGGGTGGGGATCAATAGGGTAATTGAAAGTAAATCTTAAAATTCCTACTTCTTCAGTACATGTGAAAGAGTTTTAACTAATATTTGGTCCATACATGATAGAGCCAATGGCACACACCATATCATAATTGTAGATGTGAATTTTCTCGGATGGCTGCTCAGTGCTGGTAACCTGGGTGTAAAACTGTATTCGCTCATTCATCCCTAAAATTTTATAATAAACTATTCCAACCTTTGAATTGGAAGAGTCAATATGTGTCTTCAGTGGTGAATGAGTTAAAAACGAATTACACTCCCCGCTATATCAATGATACAGGCCTTCTAGGCCTCTGTTCCGATTGAGCAGACATCCACCTAGCTGGTCAGTCTTTCGGTTGCTAGTCTGGTGGGTGCATATTGAGAATGCCTGGTGTGTCCTTTTGTGGCTATGCTTCATTTTCTCATTTTGTATATTAAGATGACTTGTGTTGTTGTTTTTCAGGATTCCCGGTAGCAATCAAGTTTTTCTGTTATAATTGTATACCCATTGAGCAAAGCTTAAAATTTGTTAAAAATTACATTATCATGCTCTGAAAGATTTTTTTGTGGGGATGGGGGTGGGTCTACCACAAACATGCGACATGTACAGAAAAGTAGTTGCATTTATGGGTTTTATAGAGAAAAGAGACTCCACAGTTCATTGTCCATTGGTGTTACAAAGCTTCACTCCACTGTGCACAATCATATTCATAGCCTCTGGTTACAATCTATTATTCATAATTTTGCTCTAGTTAGACAGTTATATATAGGACACACAAATATGTTTACGCTAATTTTTCAATGTTAAAATGGCATCATTTTCTACTGGCATTTCTATACAATGCTATGGGGCATAAGAAGAATTTTTCCACACATTAAATGCACCCATAGGATCCACATAACTAAAATGATCTGGTTTAAGTGGTTTTCATAATCATATGACACACGCATATAGGATTACTTGTACCAATACACATACAATTAATGGCAAAGTCCAGATTGGAAGACTATAAAATTGAAAAAAAAACTAAATCTTGTAAAAATGATGCAAATCTGTAGACCCATTTAAAGTAGAGTCCCAGCATTTTGGGTTATTTCTCCAAAGAAGAATTCCAATTTATTTGGTAGGTTACCCAAGACTCGGGTGACCTAGTGTGATAATCTTTTGTCTTAACTTCTTCTCAAACATCACTGACTGTCTTTAAATTGAACTTTTCTATTAACAGACTATTCAAAAGTTGTGAATAATAAGGATTAGAACCCCTACAAGGCCATCCTCAACATCCAGGGGTTACGCTCACTTTCGCTCTCTACACCCCTGGACTATATCATGGCAAAATTGAAGGCACAATGATAGGTGTTTGATTGGTCTTGGGTAAAAAAAACCTGACCAATCGCTAAGCTGATACACCTGTCCTTTGAAAATCACAAAGGAGAGACGCTGGACTTCAAAGCCCATGTTTTACTGTTACGTGACAGCGGGATTCTTTTGATGTACATCAGAGGATCGAACTAGTCTTCTAGTCTCACCAACAAGGTGGCGCACACCATGCCTTCAATTTTGCTATGACATATTCCAGGGGTACAGAGAGTGAAAGTGAGCGTAACCCCTGGCTATCGAGGATGCTACAAGGCCTGAGGAACAAGGCCAAAAAAGGTCAAATCGGCAAAATTTAACATTCTTCTTTAGACCAAGATCTGCTGGAATCAAATAAGTCTTATGGATGGAAATATGTTAAATATGTTTTTTGTCAACAATGTGAATTTCATTACACAAATGATCTTGACCTTGACCTTCATAGGGTGAAATAGGTCAACTTTGTTAAAACTTTAACACAACATCTTCCGAATAAACAAGAAACCTTGGATATTTGGCCATTAGTATGCTAGGATGAGGGACTATTTAGTTTGTTCAAATGAATAACTTTGACCCTTTCAAGGTCACATGAGTAAAATAGGTTGCAATCTTTCCAACTAAAATTCAGAAGGTATAGATTGATAAAATGTTCCAACAAAGATCAATTTTTGTGCTCTTCTTATAGTGTTTAACTTTTCTAAAATAAATGTTGATCCATTTTGAAGGTCAAAGAGGTGAGATGAATAACAGGTGAGCAGTACACACTACACTCCCATTTGGCCTCTTGTATTACTGTAGAAAAGTATTGGAGCGAGACCATCCATTATGGGGGAATGTACTAAATGAGCTAGAGCTGTACCTGTGCACTCATGCGGAGATTAGTGATACGGATCTATGCAGATCTCCTCCTGTATACAGAGCTGCTAGATATACAAACGTATGACACATATGTTTATGTACCAGTCTTGTTTTACTACAATTGCGGTTGACTCACACCTTATGTTCAAACTGTACAGCCACACACATACGGCTTCGTTGCATACTGTTTTATTAGTAATCACCAGTTAATCACCAGTAAATGTGTGTTATTGGGTGAGCTGGAGTAACCTAGGCCTGTTACACTGTGGAGGGTATACCCTGTCATCGTATGTGAGTAAACAGTCAACTGCTCACGTACGCAGACATCAATGTGTAGGAACCACTCAGTTGTACAAAAACACACCACAACAAAGCAAAATGTCAGATGTAGCTGGAGTTCTGAGTCGTATTGATTTTTCTACAGCACTTGATGTTGTACTAAAAAACTACCATACCCAGTGACTCGAATTCCCGTATGTATACCATATACGATATACATTCATGCTGAAAGGATATGTCTATATAGCTAGCTACATGTCTGTGAATACATCCAGTGTTGTTTTTTATCTGAATTTTACAACAGCCTGTTTCTTTATGAATTTGAAAATATAGCATTTTTCTCTATTGAAAGTGGGGATACATTCCTAATTTTTAGTCATTTGGGGAAAATACGGCACTTTTTAGCTGGGGGAAACAGCCTGTATTCTGCAGTCAAACTGAGCATTACAACATTAACAGATAAAAGACGTATCCCCTCCACAGATGTTTTAATTTCATGTATTTATGGATAATTACAAAAACATTTGTTACCAAAAAAATGTTATATTCGATCAGGAAATTTGGAGAGATTCGTAAGAAAACACAAATACAGGTGGTCTCTACAGTTATTCTTTATGTCTGTCTGCCCATAAAAAACCCAGTCTGTTCTTCTTCTCGACTAGGACAAGGCAAATTACGACAAAGTGATGGACTTGAGATGAAGCAGCGTAAGTCCTGCTGCATGGTACCGTGGCTTCCAAGTGTAATACGTGCATTGCTAGAATGTCTAAATATCTATATGAATGGGAAAACAATCAGTCCCGCATGATGTGTGATTGGTGGTAGGGTAGAAATTTGAAACGGATTACTCGTCGGCGTAGGCTTCAGGATATTGCTTTTACACAGAGATGTATAAAAACAACGAGATTCACCCCCAGAGTCTACCATGTAGCATGAAAAAACATCTATGTATCTACATCTTAACGTGGTGTATACAATTGAACTTCTGTTTCACGCACATCTAAGCAAGGTTTTGGAACACGAAGTGTTGGCCTCTATATATCCAGTCTACTCCCCTATAACTCCAGCCAACTTTGTGCTGTAGAAGTGTTTTGTTAAGAGAAAGCCCTTTAATATAACATGATCCAATGTATATATACTGTATTTGACCAAAAAGTGTGCTGGTCTTGAGGAACTCGCCATTTAAGATAAAAGGAATATCATTCTGCACTGGTCATTGTATCAGCAGATTACGTGAGCTTTATTTTCGTATAAATATTACTCATTTTCTGAACTGACAACTGTGCCATTTTCGTGGAAGAAGTTGCCTATCTTTCACTACTGACCCGACAAAGTCCATAAACCATAAAGCTGGAACATGTAGACAATGGAATTTTTACAATAAACATTCAGGTTATACTTTCATGTCTCTGTAGGTGCTTTTATTAGATCAAATATGGCATGTGTGTTGGCTTTAGATCTAGATGTGACCTAATAACATTTATATCAAACAAGCACTTTTTGGGTTGGAGTCATATCACCTGCATGTTACTAAACAATGTATACAGAAATAGACCGAATTATTGTCACCAGAAATTATACAGAAATTCAGTCATGTCATTCAGCATGGATATTCATGACGTAGTCTATGCAAAGAAATGTCAACACATTTACATACTGTAGCTGGAATAGCCTCATGCAGGGAAAGATTTGATAGCCTTGATGCACCCACTCTCAATGAGCCCCAACGTAAAGTTTCCGTGGATTTATCATGTTAAGCAAATACGGATAACTAATTGATCAGAATGTTTAACAAAGTTGTATATTGCTGATCTAACCTTTCACCACATAGACTCGGCATGATTTATTACATGATAATGACGGTTGCTAACATGTGTAAGTGTACATGTCTCTAGGCCACATAAACTACTAGGTACACCGGCAGTATCCAGTCCAATCGGGGGGTTTGAAAATGTTGGAAAATTATCAACTTTTGATTATCAGTTTTAGTTACTTTTTTTTTCCAAATTTTATTTTTTCATCTTCATTAAAATACAGCATAATACACGAACTGTTTTGGTTAATTAAAAAAATGATTTAATGCAGAAAGATGCTGTGTAAAAAATATTGTAAAATTATATATTTTAATTTTCAAAGGCATCAAACAATAGTACTATTGATAATTGTGGTACATTAGGTATTAGCTATCAGTGATATCACAGGAATACGTATACGCTTGCCTACGCATACAAGTAAAGTGTACAGTCTTCACTTAGCAACGTTAATGATTTTAAAGCATCAAGATTTCACCTCGATCTGGTTAATGATTTTACAGCATCAAGATTTCACCCCGATCTGGTTTTCTTCTACTGTTGATATTCAGTACAAGGGCTTTATTGATTAGACAGATGTTTGAGGATGAGCTTAAGATTAAGCTGATTGACTTGATGATGTCATGGGATGCAACTGGTGTTGAGATATTTCACATTAGTTGTTTGTATGCCTCTGCTTTATTATTCGGAGGCATCAGTAAAATTTAGGATACAGATATCTGAGTCCTATGGAACCTGCCAACATGTTGTTATGGGACCTATCAACATTCCCAGTTAAAATCATGTTCTGGATTGACCGTCTTAAAAAATCCTTCTGAAAACTAACCATTTACTCAGTGTAGTAATATCCATGTCCGTCCAGTCCCGTCCCACCATGTTTCGAATCAAACTTGAAAGGGGATTTGACACATACCTTGGATAATTTTAAATTTTAGGGTGCTAAGGTCAAAGTCACCATTATGGTTTTTATAGAAAGTTGAACTATCAGGCAATTTGTATAGGCAGTAGAGAGGCATTCATGTCTCTCAACATTTTCTAGTTTTCTCTGTGTTTCGATCACCTGACTAGCTACAGCAGTTAGACTATTTAACATTTTTATACGCCCGTCGATAGACGGTACATATTATGTTTTCATACGGGGGGGGCCACACATTCGTTTTAGCTCAATAACTTTTGAATGGATTCAATTCAAACTTAATAGGAAGGTCCATTACCATGAAAGCTCGGACAAGTTCGATAACCAAAATTATTCGCTGGTTATTTATGGAGTTATGGCCCTTTCTAGAATTTCCAATACAGTTTCTGCTCAATTACTTAAGGTTTATTTCTATGAAAGCTTGCAATAACCAAAACTATTTGCCAGTGATTTTGAGTGGATTAATTTCAAACTTGGTAGGAAGGTTCATTGCCATGAAAGCTCGGACAAGCTTGATAAGATTTGACGCTTATCTCTCCAAAATCTCTCCACATTTGACGGGCGTATCGTGTACCGTCTCGAGGAACTCTTGTTTATTCGTGTTATTGTTTGCGGTTTCTTTTCCTATGGACTCGTATAAAACCAGTTTCTCGTCCCACAATCTACCTTTCTGTAACCTGTTACCTGTCATCGTGGTCTTTATATCGGCCCTAGGCCTCTGACACATCTGTAGTGTTAGTTCTAATATTGGTCATTTTTCATTTTCATATTTGAAGCACAAGGTGAAATTAGAGTTTATGAATATGTGGCTTTGAATGAAGATGTGCAATATCTAAGATGATTGTTTCCAGTTTTTTTTAGATGGCAGCTATGCTTTCACATTACAAGATAGCTGTGTTGCTTTAGTCTGGATCAATAACAGTAATGGGATGGGGAAATTATAGGCAAAATCAACTGCTTGGAATTGGTTAGTTCATATGCTAGCAAGCGTTGAAATGGAACTGCCCTCCTCCCAACTCGGACTTGCAGGGTACAGGATGTGTGAGAGAAATGAAATTGAAATAAATTACCTGTTTTTGTTAGCTTGGGATGTATTGCACCAAGCATGACCATGTAATATGTGAAAGAGAAGACTTATGTGTTCCTTATCTGTATCGTTAGACGTAAATCACGTAATGTGATATATTTAGTCATGTAGGTCAGATGGGTCCAAAATCTTGGTGCAAAACACAAAAATGTCATAGGGATCGATAAATACCAGCTTTCAGAGTATTTTGTTACAATGGAATCATCAATGACAGCAAACATAATTGGTCCTTCTGACCATTGAACTCTGTCTGGTAATTGTGTTTTGTTTGGTATTACAGAGCCTACCAACGGCTTAATTAGTGGGGGATGCTATTACAGTAAGCAATAATTGTATTTACACCTTTAGCAACAGAATTTGAAGTAGAAGCTACAATATTTGTTTGCCCCCGAGATGCACGCCTGGCGGAGATGGTGTGCTATCGGAGGTCTGCCATAGTTGATGATTTTTTTCTACAGAAATTAATCACTAGTATTGATTTGTGATTCTCCTACACTTTGAGAGCAAGTCCTTGGGCAAGGCTGCTGACGTGTGCACTGTGTGTTACCTATGTAAGTTGCATCCCCAGCACCTGATAGAGGTGATCATGGCTGATTTCCCGTCATATACCTTGAGGAATACTGTAATGCAAGAAGAATGCATTCCAAGTTGGTATTGATCATGCTGGCTGAGTAAGCAGCTTCATGCTTGTGCTAGCCCGAGGCTTATGAGTGATGCCATAGCAGTATTGATTCTCCATTGGGTACTATTACCAAAGCCACGGTCATATCCTACTCCCAATATCAGACTTATCCTTGTTGACTAGAATATCTCGAGTTCTAGAGCCACGGTCAAATCCTACTCCCAATATCAGACTTATCCTTGTTGACTAGGTTATCTCGAGTACTAGAGCCACGGTCAAATCCTACACCCAATATCAGACTTATCCTTGTCGACTAGGTTATCTCTAGTACTAGAGCCAAGGTCATATCCTACTCCCAATACCAGACTTATCCTTGTCGACTAGGTTATCTCGAGTACTAGAGCCACGGTCATATCCTACCCCCAATATCAGACTTATCCTTGTTGACTAGGTTATCTCGAGTACTAGAGCCACGGTCATATCCTACACCCAATATCAGACTTATCCTTGTCGACTAGGTTATCTCTAGTACTAGAGCCAAGGTCATATCCTAGAGCCACGTTCATATCCTACTCCCAATATCAGACTTATCCTTGTTGACTAGGTTATCTCTAGTCCTAGAGCCACGGTCATATCCTACTCCCAATATCAGGCTTATCCTTGTTGACTAGGTTATCTCTAGTACTGGAGCCACGGTCATATCCTACTCCCAATATCAGGCTTATCCTTGTTGACTAGGTTATCTCTAGTACTAAAGCCACGGGTCAAATCCTACTCCCAATATCAGACTTATCCTTTTTGACTAGGTTATCTCTAGTACTAGAGCCACGGTCATCTCCTACTCCCAATATCAGACTTATCCTTGTTGAGTAGGTTATCTCTAGTACTAGAGCCACGGTCATCTCCTACTCCCAATATCAGACTTATCCTTGTTGACTAGGTTATCTCTAGTAACGGTCTTCGCCCCTGGCTCAACCCTTTACATGGAGAGCACGACTATTCTCAACTGTCACTAAATGCTAATGACAAGCCCCCAGGAAATTATGTGGTATTTCCAAACCAAGTACCTTATGACTGACTAGTTCTTAGTAACTAAAGAAGAACCAGAAAGCATAAGATAAGTTTACGCACACCTTTACGGTTACCGTTTATTAAGGAACCCAATATCAAATTACACAGATCTATACAGATACAACAATTCTACAGACTCTCTCCAAATTCTCTCATAAATATGTTGTACAATAAAGGTAGAACTACGTCTGAACCCTGGA